TATACGCCTTTTTAATATTTGAAAATATATTGCCTTTTAATTTTTATTAAAAAAAATAAAGGATGTGTTTACAAAATCACGGAAATAATTACATAATTAAAGGGTTTTAAAATTACAAATAAGGCTCCAGCAGATTGTGAGGCCCTAAGCTTTAGCTTATTTAGCTTATGCGTAAATCCGGCACTGTTGGTAGGGTATCCCTTGAAACTATCTTGCTCCTCTCCTTGGCCTCAACTCTCCTTAGGGCTTGCCTCACATCACCAGCATCCACATCTCTTTGATCGACAGCAGCAGGTATTTGCCAACAGGTTTGCATCCAACACACCCATGCCTGCAATGCAAAGGCAGCAAACAAATAGGCTAAAAAACAACAACAATTGACCAAGAAAACGGAGAAAGTTCAGAGTGAAAAATTTGCAGGTGACTAATATTTGTGAGTATTTTCAAATCCCCCCCCCAATGGATCCTGACACCTGAAGGGCTCTCTCTGCACATGACATGTGTAGATGTACACTTAAAGTATGCTTTGTGCACCCATCTAAACTGTTAATGTGCGAATGCAACACGGTGGGTGAGTTTGCAAACATGTCTATAAGACAGTTCGCTCATGGGGAGAGCTCAGCTCGGCTGCAATAGGCAAGACTTCAGAGTCTATGAAAACGGGTGAAAAAAATGACCCAGATTGCCCGTTGTCGGGCAGACCCACCACACATGAAAAGTCTCTTGGTACGCAACAGAGTGAGGCAGGAAAGAAAGGGAGAGGAAAGAAACGTACTGCCTGAGGTTGCGATTACAGGAGGCATGCGGTTTGTCGTGGCCCCTCCCTGGAAAATAATTACATCCTGGATTCTCCCTCTCTCTTCCTCGGGCTCCTCCCCTGCCCCGAGGCCATGAGCGCAAAAGGCGGCTGTCGCCAGGAAATCGAGCAAAGCCGGGAATGACAGCCCCACCCACTAGCGACCTGTCCTATCTCTCTCTCTCTCTGACCTCAATAGTAGCAACTGCAAGCAAGCTGGCACAGCCGCACAGCGATAGGCAAAACAGCTGCCCGGAATGCCCTTCAGTTTCCTTCCCCTTAACCCTTTTCCTGCCAAGGCAGCTTCAACACAGCCAGTTTCTTGAATTCTTTTGTAAACAGGACAGCTTCGCCATATCCTGCAGCGTTTCCTGGCAGGCTTCTCCACAGCTACATCCCCCCTGCTCAGAGTTTCCAAAGCAGTTCTGACCAACCTGCAAATGGGATCACCGCGCATGAACAAGGTTCTTGCCCTGTCATTCTGCCGCGTGGGGAGATGTTCAGAAGAACAGTTGACCATGGCCAAGTAATTTCACCCAGTGGATAAGAATTTTGGATTTATACCCCACCCTTCACTCGGAGTGTCAGAGTGGCTTACAATCTCCTTTCCCTTCCTCTCCCCACAACAGACACCCTGTGAGGTAGGTGGGGCTGAGAGAGCCCTTGAGAGAACAGCTCTGAAAGAACTTGTGACTAACCCAAGGCACACCAGCAACTGCATGTGGAGGCACGGGGAATCAAACCCAGCTCTCCCAGATTAGAGTCCACCCTCCTAACTACTACACCACACTGGCTCTCCAGTATTTCAGCCCATGGTTCTGCAAAGCTTATGGTCGGGTTTTCATCCTGTAATTCTTCACGAATGTGGTCCTGAAATTAGACTTCTGCTTCCTGAGCATGGAAGCCCTTTTTAACAAATGGAGCTTTGACTCTGATGAAGAGAGCTTTAACTCTCCAAAGCCTATATCCTCAAAAAGCTTGTTGGTTTCTTAAGGTGCTACTGAACTCGAAACAAGCTTTTTTTAAAAAAAAGCAAGTTTCTTTTTAAAAAACCCCTAAATAATACTGATATACAAATATTTTTGCGTACCTTTTCTATTATAACTAGGGATGCCGAGAACTTCGTGGCGAACTTTTGAGCAAAGCCTCAGATTGGGTCATAAACACCTACTCATCTCAGACCTGAGTTTGAGTCCAGTGACACCTTCAAGACCAACAAGTTTAATTCTGGGTATAAGTGTTTGTGTGCATGCACACTTCTTCAGAAAGCTTATACTCAAAATTAAACTTGTTGGTCTTAAAGATGCCACTGGACTCAAACTTTGTTCTATTGCTTCAGACCAACATGGCTACCCACCTAAATCTATCATCTCAGACCTATTTGCATGCCTAGCAACCAACTCACTTCATACTGAGGAAAGCACAAAAAGGCTGCGATCATCAGGAGGGTCAACATGGAATGTGAGCATACAGAGGGGATGAACAACAAGCACAGATACTGTCTGAAAACAACTGAGTGACAGTGCAGGACTTGGGAAAGGCAGGACACCTTCTCCAACACTTGTGCTGCAGAAAAACAATCATTTTTTTGTGATATGAGGACACACTCGTGTGGCCACATAACAGAAGGCTCTTGCTATTGGGCCAAAATCGCCCCCTCATGTACTCCCAGAAATCCTGCTTAGCCCCCTCCTGTCTCCAGGGACAGGTGGCACAAATATCATTTTCCGTTTCCTGCTGTGGTTTGCTGACTTGCACACTCACAGTGGAAATCACAATTCACGCTTCAACGAGCACACACCATGATACTGCGGCCAGGAGAAGAAGTAAAACCAGAAGACCTTCTTATCTCTGCGCTTTCAAGCTTATCTCCACAGTCACCAAAGCAGAGGTCAGCCACCTTTTATCACTAAAAGCCAAACTGCGTCAGCCCTCAGAGATCAACAAACAACCGGTATAAGAAAACCTGTTTGAGCAAGTGAAAAGATACAACTCAACATGACTGGTAACTGACAGGTCTGATTAATGATCCGTACAGTTTCCACAGCTCAAACTGTCGTAGGTCGTTTGTTGTGAAGTGGCACACAGGAGGTCACAGAAAGAGTAATAAATATACCCAACAGTACACTGGGTAATAAGTTTCGTGCATAAAGCTGTGCATGGCACGCACTTGGATGCCTGGCAACTGTTCACCTTTATCGTTCCTCTTTCTGTAAAGCATCTTTAAGAAGCCCTTCAGCCCCATAACAGTCTTTGCCTGGCTCCTACCTGGTGGAACTCTCTGCCAGAAGACATTCGTGCTAGGGTTACCAAGTACCTACCGCGAATCGGTGGGGGACACGCTTTCCCGCCGGAACATTCCTGCCTGTAATACACCCGTGTCGCACTATGCTGTCGCCCAGATGTGACGTCAGCACACTGGGCACGTAGCCAGGTGACGTTCTGACAATGGGGCTGAAAACTCGATGGTACCATCGAGTTTTCTGCCCCATTGCTAGAGCATCGACCTGCCGCCCGGCTACGTGCCTACTCTGGGCGACAGTATAGTGCAGCGCGTGTGTTTTCCCCGTGGAAATGTTCCCGCCAAGAACTATGTGTCCCCCGTCGATTCGCGGTAGGTACTTGGTAACCCTAATCCGTGCCCAGCACGCTGCAATGTATTCCCACCTGCACAGATGAAGGGTCGTTTTCAGGGCATCCCAGCAAGTCAACCCTACTGCGACTGCCCATTAGCGACTGTAGACTCACTTGCTCATATCTTTTTCTGTTGCCCAAAACATGCAGGTGCGAGAGAAAAGTTCCTGAGGAGACGGCTATTAAAATTTTCTTCCTTTTTGGAATCTACAAGGTTGAGAGTTCTGCTGAGTACTCTGTGCAATAACTGTATAATAGATGTGGCACATTTCTGTTATACTGTCCTTTTAAATGTTTAATTTTTTTTTAAAGTTTAAATTAAATTTTCTTTCTTTCTTTCTTTCTCTCTCTGTCTCTCTCTCTTTCTTTCTTTCTGGTGTATGGCTTATAGGCTCTTAATAAACTGAAACTGAAACATCCGTGCCCTGCGGGAGTTACTGCCTTTCCGCAGGGCATGTAAGGCAGAGATGTTCCGCCAGGCATGTGGCTGAGGACAGTGATTGGGGGGGGGGAGAACATCTGGAAAACTCATCTACTCCCCCATCCCTTGCAACCCTTCCCCCCGAGGAGGTTAGGGGAGCTGATTTTCGGCCATCGGGTATATGTTTTGTTTTTATCCATTGATTTCTTTTAATGGTTTTAATGTTGTTTGTTATTATTCTGTTGTAAGACGCACGGAGCCCTACTCGTAGGGAAGGGCGGCCTAGCTAGTCTAATTTAATGAATAAATAATAAATAAATAATCCCCTTCGCATTCTGGTCATGCTAGCATCCCACATACCCCCGTCAGTATAACTTTGCTTAAATGTTTCTTTTTCTTTTTAAAAGAGCCATATTAGGTTCCCTATTGAACCATATTTGGCTCTGGCGTCCCAGGCTACAGACCCCTGCACCAACGGCTCAAAAAAGGAGCAGGAAGAATGGCGGATCATTTTCTCTGTCCTTAGAGCGTGTGCATATTTTGTGGAGTGAACAATGGAGGGGAAAAGAAGATTCTGGGAGTTTTTGGCATGGTTTCAGGTTGAGCTCTGGGAAAGCTGATTTCCTGTCCGATTCTGACCACACTATGCCTGTGAGGGCACCTATTGGCTAGCGGCTGTGTTGTCATGAACACATTTTCCCCCTTGTGAAGATAAAAGGGTAGATAGTTCATCTGACACATTTACAGTCCAGTGGCACCTTTAAGACCAACAAAGGTTTATTCAAGGTATGCGCTTTCGTGAATAAACCCTTGTTGGTCTTAAAAGTGCCACTGGATTCTAAATTCGTTCTTCCGCTGCAGACCAACAGAGCTGACTACCTGGGTCATCTGACACATGTCAGAGTGGCGCAAGACTGAGGACTGCTTCACTCAGTGACCAAATGCTCGGCTTGCTGTAGATGTTTGCACCCAACAGTTTCGAAGCTGGGTTCATACCCTAGCTAAAGAACCCACTGGGACCACTCCCCAAAACACTACTTTTGCTTTACAAACTGGAAGCTGAAATTCTCAAGGCACTGATCTCAACATCAGATGCCAAACCCACCAAGTAAGCAGTGCCCGGCTTGCGCACATCCCCCCCGTACCTACCCGATCCCAGAAGCGGGGATTCCAGACTGAGGCTCGGAAGGCTTGCGGCATGGCTGAAGGAGCGTGAGGAGGACCCACCGATGCTAGAACTGACCAGTGACCCTCCGGAGAAGGGAGAAGAGGAGGTCGCTGTGGACCCAACCAGCTGGGCCCCTGGGACTTCCTTGTTCTTGCTCCCTTTCGGCCTCCCTGGCCCGTGCTTGTTTTTCTTACTGGCCTTGTGCTTCTTTTCCTTCAAGACTTCGCCCTCTTCCACATTGAGGGATGGCATCCGCTTGTGGTTGCTGCCACCACCACTGGTGCCCCCGCCCCCCGGAGGGCTGACAATGGGGTTCGAGGCTTTGTAGTCCACAGGGGAAGCATCGCGGCCCCTCTGCTGGCTGACGGCCGTCGTGGAGAAGCGCATGATGGAGCCAAAGCCCGAGAAGATCACTTTCTGCTCAAAGACGTCGCCTTTCTGCCCTTCGTACAATGGGGAGCAATGGGCGGAGGAGGAAGAGGAAGAGGCGGGCTTACGATATTTCTCCTCCTCAGGTGGTGGCGGTGGCTGGGGCGGCTGCTCAAGCTTCGGGAAGGTCACAAAGTCCTGGGAGAAGGGCAAGGAGCTGCACGAAGTACCTGCAAGAGGGAAACGGAGGGAAATCCTGAAACCTTCAGCAGAGATGGAGATAGGATAGCGGTCACATGCTTCCAAGTAGTCAATATTAATAACAACTGGTATGCGCTAGTGCCGCTGGGGGAGGAGGAGGAGAAGAAGAGCTGGTTTTTATTTCCCGCTCTTCATTACCCAAAGGAGTCTCAGAGTGGCTTACAACTGTCTTCCCTGCCTCTCCCCACAACAGGCACCTTGTGAGAGAGTTCTGAGAGAACTGTGACTGACCCAAGGTCACCCAGCTGCCTTCACGTGGAGGAGGAGTGGGGAATCAAACCTGGTTCTCCAGATTAGAGTCTGCCGCTCTTAGCCACTACACCAATGGCACTTCCGTGCCGAGGACTTCGTTTACCCTGTGGGCCACCAACCTTTTTGAGTCTGCGGGCACCTTTAGAATTCTGACACAGCATGTCAGGTGCAGGCAAAAAAATGGCTGCCACAAAATGGCTGCCACAAAAGGCAAAGCCAGCCACAAATTGGCTGCTGCAGCTCGCATCCAGCCACACAGCGACGATCCCTGTGCTGCAGGGGAAGCTGCTGACAAAACAGAGTTCTTAAAAATATCTACACAGCCAATCAAATCTCCAATGGCCAATCGAACACCTTGCTGGGCAAAAGCCATATCTGGCCCCACCCACTTTCTTAAAACACCTGGAAAGGTATTGGTGGACGCCACGGTGCCCATCACCATGGGGACCCCTGGTCCATCCACACACTACACAGAAGGAGCAGAGAGAGTGGAGGGGAAAGGAAGAATTCCAATCAATAAAAAGTTGGGTGCGGTTCTTGATCGCCAGATGGCTGACAGACCTTGCTGTTGAGCAGTTAAAGCCCGCCTCTTCTGTCAAGATTTCGGTTTAACTGCTCAACTCCTCATCATCTGCCCCCCATCCAAACTCCAATGAAACTTGTGTCACCACATGACAACATTCTTTCCTTGTGACTCTCATCTCTAAGGGGAGAACACGCACGGTAATTAAAAAAAAAAAGTACAAAGTCCCTTTCCTGAGTGCGCGAAGAATGCTTCGTGTACACAAAGCTGACTTCCAGCGTTCCCTCTAAGCTGAGCTGCCGTGCACTTGCCTGCAAATTTTGGCCCCTTGGCTCACAGATTTGGCCTCTGCCGGCGGGCTCTGGAGGGAGGGGATGGGGACGCCTTAGGGAAGGGGGGGAGAGAGAGGCTTCAGCAGGGCGTGGCCCCGGTACCTGTTGGTGGCCACCCCAAAGGAAGACCGCCACTTCCCCCCCAGCCGGCCTCCAGCCTCCATTCCCAAGGCAAGAAGAGGAAAAAAGGGGTGCGGGAAGGGAATCTGGGGTTGTCAACGCTGCATCCTCACTTTGGAATCATCTAGCACAATATTAGACGTGTCTACTCAGAAGAAAGCCCCACTAGCCTCAAGGGTGCTTATTTCCAGTTCAGCACATTTAGGATTGCGCCCTAAATCCTCCAGAGCAAAACTCCTCTGATCTAAACTCCTCTTATGTACATCCTATGACGTGAAATGCGAGCTGGGCATCAAAGCTTCTTCTTCTTTTTTTAAATAACAACATCAGAAGCTGCCCAAAAGCAAGCAGGGCTGAAGTGTGGCTCACCAGCTTGGAGACGCAATGCAGCCAGCCGGGGAGGCCAGGCCGGACAGAGGTGGCTCCTGAGGTGAGTGTGCGGGGTGTGTGTGTGTGAGTCCCACCCCCCAGAAGTGCTGCCACAGCTGATGCCTGGGAAGGGGAAGGCAGGGCAGGGAAGGGATGCTGTCTCCTCCAGCCCCAAGGAGGCTTGCACTTTGCTCGGCTTTTTGCAGCCTGGCTTTTTGCAGAGGTGGCTGGAGCCACACAAGCCCCCCCCCCCAAGTTTCCAGGGCACCAATGCTCCCTCTAAGCTGTGGGGTCTTTTTAAAAAAAACCAACAACATTAAACTGTTTATTGAAAATTACAATAAAATACAATGCAGTACTTAGTAAAGCATGAATGAAAAACAATTACAAAGTGATCATTAAGGTTATGGTGAATCAAGGATTGCCATTACAAGTTATCTGCAAATTTGGCTTATCAATTCAATAATTAAAAATAAAAATAAATGGAGTTCAAGCAAGTTTTAAAGATCCTTCAAGTACTTAATGGTAAAGGTATAAGGTGTGTGAATCAATTAAGGGTGCTTTCTGTAAAGTTCCTTCTTGGTAAGCAAAAGCATCTAGCCATGATGACCATTTGGCCGTAATACTAGTAGAGGTAACCTATCTATCTTGCTGTGCAATCCAGTCTGAGGTCTTGTCCAGCAAAAGATATTCCCATACCTTTTGTATGGAGTCTTTTGTGGAGTCTTGTGAGCAAAAAGTCTACTTTGTGAGCTACTGGCACTAAAGTTGTGAGTGAGCGATTCGGCTACCACATAAATTAGTTTGCTCTGGAGCCCTCCTTCCTGAGCTAAGACAAAAATCCGTGAGCTAGAGGCTAAAAAACTGTGAGCTAGCTCACACTAACTCAGCTTAGAGGGAACACGGCAGGGCACCCCTCTTTCCTGCAGAGGGGGGCGGTGCCTGTGTTTGCAGGTGAATAGGGCCTGGGGGTTTGGCTCTCTCTCTCTCTCTCCCTCTTTCCCACCCATTGAATGCTGACCTTTAAAATCATATTTAGTCATCTAAAGAAATGGGGAAACAAAGAAACCTGGTGGCCCAGGTGAACCCACACTGAACAAAAGGACTCATTCCAAGGTCTCAGACAAATCATGGATCATGATCAATGCTCCCTCTAAGCTGTGGAGTCTTGTGAGCAAAAATTCTACTTTGTGAGCTACTGGCATTAAAGCTGTGAGCGAGCGATCTGGCTACTGCATAAATTGGTTTGCTCTGGAGCCCTCCTTCCTGAGCGAAGACGAAAATGTGTGAGCTGGAGACTAAAAACCTGTGAGCTAGCTCACACTAACTCAGCGTAGAGGGAACACTGGGCATGATGCAATCATGTGAGTACAAATTATGTCACCCTTCCTCTCCCTGGCAACGGGATCCCCCAGACGCACAAGCAAGCACCTCTGGGTTGCAGCCATACTCTCATGTCTGCAAAAGCGGATGCCATAAATAGGTGCCACTAGACTCTTTGTTGTTCTCATACTCCCTGTTCACTGTCTGCAAAACAGAAATAGCAGTCACAAACCCCACACAACCCTTATGGTGTGAATGAGTGAGACAAGACTGTAGTGTAAATAAATTGCAGGAAACACATTAGAAATATCTTCATGGTTCTCTTTATAGAATCATAGAGTTGGAAGGGGCCATACAGACCATCTAGTCCAACCCCCTGCCCAGTGCAGGACCAGCCTAAAGCATCTCTGACAAATATTCATCCAGCCTCTTCTTGAAAGCTGTCAGTGAAGGGGAGCTAACCACCTCCCTAGGCAGCTGATTCCACCTTTGAACTACTCTGACCGTGAAAAGGTTTTTCCTAATATCCAGCCGATACCTTCCTGCAGGTAATTTAAACCCGTTGCTTCGGTTAAGAACCTAAGAGAAGCCATGATGGATCAGGCCAGTGCCCCATCTAGTCAAAAACTCTGCATCACACAGTGGTCAAAACCCAGGTGCCATCAGGAGGTCCACCAGCAGGGCCAGAACTCCAAAAGCCATCCCCCTGTTGCCCCCCAAGTACCAAGAATACAGAGCATCCTTGCCCCAGACAGAGTGTTCCATCTCTACCTTGTGGCTAATAGCCACTGATGGACTTCTTGTGATTCTTAATGTCAGATTTGTGCCCATTTATCCTTTGGCATAGGATAAGGGAAGGTATTTAAACATGTGGTGGATGCTCCTTCGCTGGACATTTTCAAGCGGAGGCTGGACGACCATCTTTCGGGTATGTTGTAGGTATGTAGGTATGTAGGGCTATCTTTTGGCTATGCTCCTGCAGAGTGCAAGGGGTTGGACTAGATGACCTGCAAGGTCCCTTCAAACTCTAACATTCTATGCTTCTATGATTCTATGTCTTCTCTCTCTGTCTTTCCTTCCCCAGACCTGGCTGCAGCAGGGTGACTACGGAAGGAAAGACAGAGAGAGAAGGCATAGGCATATTAAAACGCCTTCCCTTTCCTTCCAGCCATTAAACTGGTCAGTTTCACTCCCCTCAGGAGTGAAATCAACCAGATTAATGGCTGGAAGGTATGGACAGAGTGGTTTGGCAGGGAGGGGAGTGAAACTGACCAGTTTAATGGCTGGAAGGAAAGGGATGGCATTTAAACATGCCTTCGCTCTCTTTTTCCTTCCCCAGACGCCCTGCCACGGGGGAAAGGGAGGTGGTGGCTGGGGAAAGAAAGGAAACGCACATTTAAATGCCTTCTCTTTCCTTCCAGCCATTAAACTGGTCAGTTTCACTCCCTCTAAGCCAAGGGGAGTGAAACTGACCAGTTTAATAGCTGGAAAGCATTTCAGTCTAACAGTGGCGGGCTGGGGAAGGAAAGGGAAGGTGTATAAACATGCCTTCTCTCTCTTCCTTCCTTCCCCAGGCAGGGGGCCACTTCCACTGATCAGTTTCACTCCCCTCCACTAGTCAGCTGTTCGGTTCAAATGGGGAGGGGGGGTGAAACCGACCTATGGAAGCAGCTGGACAGCTCCAGGAGGGAAGGCAAGGCATTTAAACATCCCTTCTTGCCCCCCCCCCCCCGTGGGTATAATAGACCTGAGTGCATTCGGAAATACCGAATATATTCCCCGAATCTGAATACTGTAGCGGTATCGGTACTTGGGAAATTCGGTATTTACTGATAATTTTCGTGTCTGATATACCTGAATCAAAAAAAAATACCAATTTTTTAAAACTTGTACGCCGCTAATGTCAATTCATAGGGTCACCATAAGTTGCAAGTGACTTGACAGCAGTTCCCTCTCTCTCTCTCTCTCTCTCTCTCTCTCTCTCTCTCTCTCTCTCTCTCTCTCTCTCTCTCACACACACACGAGGGCTAGAGACTTGCGCCTTTTCAAAATGGGACCCAACACTCGGAAAGGCAAAGGCCCCGGGAACTTGGCTTAGGATGCACCACTGCCCATCTGTCCCTACTGGCTCTCCCACTCCCTTCCCATCCTTCACCTGCAGACGGGAATGAGCCACTAGAAGAGGACGAGCTGAAACCAGTCGAGCTTTTCCCACTGCCCGACTTCTTGGCCTTGTGGCTTGTGCCATGGCTCGAAGACTTTTTGCCTTTCACCTCTGACCTGATGACCTCGGAGGTTTCTTTACTGGTCTCGTGGTGGTTGGTGGAGCTCTGTGGAAGAGAACAGAAGACAAAAGGAAAGAGAATCTGTTAGCATCAACTTAGATATATCCTACCTATTAGGTGTAAGATCCTAGTGAGAGCCAGTATGGCCTAGTGGTTAGAAAGCTGGACCCAGGTTCTTGGAGACCCAGGTTCGAATCCCCACTCTCCCATGGAAGCTTGCTTGGTGTCCTTGGGCCAGTCACAGACTCTCGGCTTCACTTAGGGTTGTTGTGAGGATAAAATGGAGGAGAAGAGAATGATGTAAGCTGCTTTGAGTCTGCACTGGGGAGAAAGATGGGTTATAAATGAAATAAATAAACCATTAATGGAACATGCAACCATCAGGAACTAGTGAGGTTCACACCCTACAGACCTTTGCTCGCAGGAAGCTGTCCAGAGTGCCGAGAGTCTCAATTAAAAAACACCATGAGAATATAAGAAGAGCCCTGCTGGATCAGACCAGTGGTCCATCTAGTGCAGCAACCTGTCTCACACAGTGGCCGACCGGTTCCTCTGGAGGGCCAACAACAGGGCATTGAGGCCGAGATTTCCCCTTATCTTGAAGCCTCCTGGCTCTGGGATTCAGAGGCTGACTGCCTCTGAATGTGGCAATTCCCTTTAGAGACCATGGCTAGTAGCTACTGATAGACCTCTCCTCCATGAATCTATCTAATCCTATCTAAGCTGCCCCTGGTCCTGATTGGCTGACCTCCTCCAGTTTGGTGTAGTGGTTAAGAGCCAGTTTGGGGTAGTGGTTGAGTGCACGGACTCTAATCTGGGAGAACCGGGTTTGATTCCCCACTCCTCCACTTGCACCTGGCTGGATGACCTTGGGCAAGCCATAGTTCTGGCTTGAAAAAGAGCAGTTTCTGTCAGAGCTCTCTCAGCCCCACCTACCTCACAGGGTGTCTGCTGTGGGGAAGGGAAGGAGTCTGTGTAAGCCACTTTGAGACTCCGAGTGAAGGGCAGGGTATAAATCCAATCTCCTCCTCCTCTTCTTCTTCTCTTCTTCTCCTGCTTCCTCACTGCTGGAAGGGGACTATTAAGAAGTGTCAAGTGATAAGCCAGACCAGAAGTTGGGTTCTTTGGTTGCAGAGATCACAATGGATACAGAACTCCAGAAAACTCCCTTTTTACTGTCTTGCCCCAGGGATATTTCAATGTTTGGGGCCCAACCCTTCTAAATGACTAGGAGCCATTGATCATGAATCCTTCTGACTCAGTGACCTCCAGCTGGACCAATGTCATCTTGGCGGTTCATTGACAGTTCTCCAGCCCCCCCCCCCATCACAAGTTTGGAAAGATCCACAACTGTGTGGGAAAGTCAGAAAACTAAAATTAACACCTGCTCAGTTATTGGCAGAAAACAGTGAAGACTTGGAATGACCGCTGATGAAGGTCAAAGCAAAAAGTGCCAAAGCAGGATTGCAGCTGAACATCAGGAAGACCAAAATAATGACTGTGGCGAATTACACAGCTTTAAGGATGACGATGAAGAAATCAGAATTGTTCAAGGTTTTCCATTCCTTGGCTCCATCATTAAGCAAAAGGGAGACTGCACCCAAGAAGTCAGAAGGAGATTGCGAATGGAAAGGGCATCCATGAAGGATGTAGAGAAGACCCTTTAGTGTAAAGATGTGCCACTGGCAACCAAGATCCAAGATAACTCATACTACAGTACACCCTGGTGATGACGCTCTTTTATGTTAGCTAGACTTAATGTTTTACCTTCAGCAGTACTGTCTGGGAGGCTTACCAACAATTCCTATCCAAGGAATGCACCTTGAAACAGTAGCCCATGTTTTATTTCATTGTGATTTCTAAGTGCGGGATTGTATAATTAAACCTATTATGTCTAACTGCCACGGTTTTTCTGAGGCGAAGTTAGTCTCTTTGTTATTATCTGACCGATGTCCCCCTATTACAAGTTCCGTTGTAAGGTACCTTTTGGCTGCCATAATAATCAGGGAGCAAAAGGTTAGCTAACTGATTTTATAATTCAAATTCTCTGTAAACTTGCCTTGTGGTATTTTGCTTTTCTTTTACACCAATAAAGGTGTTTGGATTTGGATCCTACAGTATTCCCCAGTACTGGGTATGGGTGTGAATTGTTGGACAATAAAGAAAGCTGACAGGAAGAGAGTAGATTCCTTTGAAATGTGGTGTTGGAGGAGGGTTTTACGGATACTGTAGACCACCAGGAAGAAGAAGAAGAGATTGGATTTATACCCCGCCCTTCACTACCCAAAGGAGTCTCAGAGCGGCTTACAAACTCCTTTCCCTTCCCCTCCCCAGACAGACACCCTGCGAGGCAGGTGGGGCTGAGAGAGCTCTGATTGAAACTGCTCTTTTTTCAAGAACAGCTCTTGTCAGAACTATGGCTTGCCCAAGGTCATCCAGCCAGGTGCAAGTGGAGGAGTGGGGAATCAAACCCAGTTCTCCCAGATTAGAGTCCGCACACTTAACCACTACACCAAACAAATAAGTGGGTTCTAGACCAGATCAAGCCTGAACTCTCCCTAGAAGCTACAATGGCTAAACTGAGGCTGTCGTACTTTACTCACATTATGAGAAGACAGAAGGCAGCAGGAAAAGAGGAAGACGCAACAGGAGACGGATGGACTCAATTAAGGAACCAGGGCCCTCAATTTGCAAGACCTAAGAATGGCTGCGAACAATAGGATGTTTTGGAGAACGTTAATTCATACGCTCTCCGTAAGTAAGAAGCGGCTTGACAGCACTTAACACACACATACAATGTGATCATAGTACGGAAGTGAGGGGCAGAAGTAGGAGACCCGGAACTTTGACCGCAAGGACTAGCACTATGATGTTCCAATGAATATGAGAGCAGTTTTTGGATGAGGAGGGATTGGATTTATACCTCGCCCTTCACTTGGAGTCTCAGAGCATCTTACAATCTCCTTTCCCTTCCCCTCCCCACAACAGACACCCTGTGAGGTAGGTGGGGCTGAGAGAGCTCTTTCGAGGACTGCTTGTGAGAGAACAGCTCTGAGAGAACATGTGACTGATCCAAGGTCACACCAACAGCTGCAAGTGGAGGAGTGGGGAATCAAACCCGGTTCTCCCAGACTAGAGTCTGCGCTCCTAACCACTACACCAAACTGGCTCTCATTGTAGGTCTCAAGGGAAAAGCAGAAAGAGATACCCGTATGCCAAGCAGGATGGGTGGTGACCCTGCCTGGGTGCTCTGAGGGACCCACCTAGCTGCAAAGGATAAACTTTTACCCTCCTCCAATGCTCCCTCTAAACTGTGGAGTCTTGTGAGCTACTGGCATTAAAACTGTGAGTGAGCGATTTGGCTACTGCATAAATTAGTTTGCTCTGGAGCCATCCTTCCTGAGCTAAGACAAAAAAAGGTGCAAGCCAGAGGCTAAAAAACTGTGAGCTAGCTCACACTAACTCAGCTTAGAAGAAACACTGCCCTCCTCCTACTCTGCATGAGGCAATGCAAGCAGACCGATAACCGGGATTAATAACATGCTCTATTTCTTTGGCGCTATTCAATCAAGCCAACACCGTGCAACAGCTGGGAGCCGCACGATCCATCCCAGATGTGCCAGAGGTGCATGCAAAGAGGGGTGAAAGTCCAAAGCGGGAGGCCCTTTGCCTTCTCCTGGCCATGTAACTCCCTGCATGTTGAATTTAAGCCCTGCTGATTTATAAACTCGGAGGGACCCGGGGTAATCCATGTGAGTTTCCACATCTGCCAAACCAAGGGGAAGCAGAAAGAGAGGGAGGAGAGAGGCTGGAACAGCAGGAGGTCATTGTGGGTATCAAGGGAAAAGGGGGGGGGGGATTCCAAGCAGGTTCTGCCAGCATTTGGACCTTACCACACTTCATAAAGGAGAGCTCCAGGTACGTCCTTCCCCTTCCCACCTCCTCTCTTTGATGATCAATTTGGGACACAGGTGAACAGAGAGATGGAGGGGACTCCCCGCATAAGCCACATCAAAAGCCTTCTTTTCAGTGCACTGGGCCAAGAGGTGAATAATAATAATGCATTAATCCTGGGGGGGGGGGATTGATGCAGAAAATTAATCTCAACCGGAAAATGCATTACAATTGCAAAAAAGGGAAGTACCGAAGTGGAGAAATCCAGATGTTTTAGGGGATTATTCCCAAGGCCTTTTCATTTAAATTTAAACAAAGGAGACCTATGTATGGGGGGGGGGGGGGTGGTTGGTTGCCATCACTTTGAAGAGAGAAACCTCCTCTCTGACGGTAGAAACAGAAGTCTCAGTCTTTCCTCCAGCAGGGAAAATTTTTGGCCCTTGTCTAATTTCCTCCATTGCTGCAAGGTTCTCCCAGGCCCATAGGGGCTCCCCGCCCTGCACCCACCTGGCTAAAATTTATTTATTCGTTTGATTTATATCCCGCCCTCCCAGAGGCTCAGGGCGGCTCACATACGGCAAAGCCGAGTGCAAAATACAATACAGTATATAATAAATAAAACATTTAAAATCACAATAAAACCTTCCAATAATACGGTGCTATACCTATATTAATCATCCAAGATGGGGACAACCCCCCTAGGGTTGGTGGCCAGCTGTCTCAGTAGCGTGGTCCCCCACTGCACTGTCTCAAACTTCTGACAGGGCCCGCTTGCCCCCATTCTTATAGGGCAGCCGATGACTTGCCACCTCGGTGGTAGAATAGTGGCGGCGGCGGCGGCTCCTACTCAAACACCTGGCGGAAGAGCTCCGTCTTACAGGCCCTGCGGAACTGCATAAGGTCCCACAGGGCCCGGATCTCCTCTGGGAGCTCATTCCACCAGGTAGGAGCCGCCACCGAAAATGCCCTGGCCCTAGTAGAGGCAAACTTAATCTCTCGGGGACCTGGCACTCCCAGGAGATGGAGCTTCCCCGATTGTAGTGGTTGTTGTTGTTGTTCAGTCGCACAGTCGAGTCCGACTCTCCCGCCAGGCCCTCCTGTCTTCCGCCGTCCTCTGAAGTTGGCTCAATTTCATGTTCGTTGCATCGATG